GGGCAGCTCACCTGTACGGGGCAGCTCACCTGTACGGAGCAGCTCACCTGTACGGGCAGCGGGCAGCTCACCTGTACGGGCAGCGGGCAGCTCACCTGTACACTGAAGAAACTACAAGTTCTGCTAAATGAAACCCGACTGAACCCAACCAACCACTGATGTCAGGAGCAAAACGTTCTGAATGACACTCCTCCAGAATAAAACAGGAGAATTTATTATTAACACGCTGGAATAAAAGTTATCAAACTGTTTTCTGTTGACTTTTGTCACCTGCTGTGATGTCACTAATTCACCTGCTGTGATGTCATCAGGTTGAAGCAGCATTCGGAGGCTGATAGGCGGAGCCCCGAAGGCGAGAGGCGGAGCCCCAGCGAGGAGGAAGCAGACGACAAACTGTCATCAGCGGAGATCCACAACCCCGAAGACTACAAGGAGATCTTCCAGCCGAAGAACGCCATCTGTAGGTGGACCGCCGTCATTGCACCTCACCGTCAGAACGTGTGGTTAGAGATCCACAGCTGGTTTTTATACGTTTACATCAGCTCCGCTCTGAAAACGACAGATTCACTGATAAGTGGAATTAGTCAGCGACGGCTCAAATGTACTGATGTTCAGTAAACGCCTCGCAGTCATCAGTAGACACTGCAGTTTCCAGATGTTCCCTGAACGCCTCACTAGTCTCCATCAGGTCCTGCAGCAGCTCAGAGACCAAACATTAGTCAAGTAAGGAGTTCTGAATCACATTTACCTGGAACCAGGTGAGTTTCTCCACCTGGACACCATCAGGTGACCAATAGCAGTGTTTAGTCCTGAGCTGCTTGTTTTGGACCTGCTGCTGCATCTTGATGGCGTGTTGAGGGACGTGATGGTCGTCTCTGTTCTGCTTCCTGTTTCTCTCTTTGACTGTTGATGTGAGTCTGAACTGCTCGGTACCGACTCAGTTCTGGTGTCTTCCAGCTCGTACTCCTCCCAGGTTATCAGAACCTTTCCCTGCTCCTCCAGAGGACGGTGAGTAAAGACACCATCGGTCAAACTTTTGTCTTTATTGTCTCCTTCGTCTGACTGATCGGTTTCATCTGGAGTCAGCTGGCTGATGGTCTCTCCCTCTGCAGACACCGTTCTGGCCATCGGCCGACAGCTGAAGGACCTGGTGTCTCCCTTTCCTGACAAAGTGCAGGTCAGTGAACGCAGCAGCTTCAGTCTGTTGTTCTACTTCGTATAAGACTGAAAGAGACACAATGACACACAGTTAGGTTGTGTGTCCATCAGAGGCTCTGTCTGGAAAGGTCCAGAGCTGAAACATCTCAGCAGGAGACGCAGCGGTGCTTCTTTAAGATTGTATTGTGTCTCTTTGTGGTGGTTTTGTGTCTCTTTGTGGTCAGTTGGTGGTTGTGACTACTAGTTGTGTGTCTGCAGCTCACATCAGTGTGTCAGTAGCAGATGTTTGTAACCGTCTTCAGCAGCAGAGTTTGCTTTGATCGTGGACGTTGTGTTTCAGGCTCCTCAGCCCGTCACCTCCACTCCGGTCCAGAGGGTGGAGCCCACCGTGGTGTCCAACGTGAAGCGGCCCTCGGTGGTGGGACCGCCCTCCTCCAGCCAGAACCCCCCCCAGCCTGCCGCCATCACGGCCAAACAGAAGCCCCAACCCAAGATCATCCCGAGCACCAGGAACGAGCCCATCGGCCTCAACGTGGCCGACTTCCTGCCTGTGAGTGGGTCTCTGCGGTTCTGCTGTCGAGATGCTTCTGTTGGTTCTGTTCTGCTTGACACCCTGTTTGGTTTCAGGTGTCCCCCAACCACAGACCTGGAGCTCTGAGCGACGACGAGGCTCAGTCCCAGATCAAGAAGGGCCACGACACCATGTGTGTGATGCTGAGCAGCCGACACAAGAACCTGCAGACGGTCCGAGCCGTGTGGGTCCGAGAGGACATCAAGGTGAGGCTCACTCCCCTCTGAGCTGCAGTTCTCACCTGGACCCAGTTGGTGGCAGCGAAGGCCTCCTCACAGCCTCACACTGTGTAAATGTTGTGTTCAGTGTTCTTACAAAACAAGTAGATCTTCAAACATCTCGAGGGCTTTCTGAATATGTTGCTGTGAGACAGAAGCTGCAGAAATCATGGATCATCTGTCCAGACGGATCAAAGAGTAGCTGGATCAGACGGGTCCAGGTCTTGGTGTCGTGTCCTGTATGCTTCAGTCTGTCTGTGTAGAGCTGAGCGTTGAGACTTTCCAACACTGAACGTTAGTCGTCAGGTTAGAGTCACAGCAACTCATCAGCTCCTGTTCAGTGATCAGTACCCGGTCCAGGTCCTGCTGCTGAGACCCGACAGAACTGTGACACAGATGTTGACAGTTCACGTGGTGACTGGATGGTGTTTGTGTGCAGAGTGCTCTGGACGCTGCAGTGTCCATGAACGACCTGTCCATCGTGGTGGACATCCTGAACATCATCAACCTGCAGCCGTGAGTCTCTCTCTCACACACACACACACACACACACACACACACACACACACACACACACACACAGCGTTAACCCAGCAGGAGGAGCAGTGTGACTCCAGCAGGTCCAGTCAGTCCACCAGGTTCTACATGTGGCATGATGAGTGTCTGTGCTGCTGTTTCAGCTCTCTATGGAAGCTGGACCTGTGTACGACCATCCTGCCTCAGATCGACAAGCTGCTGCAGAGCAAATACGAGAGGTGGGTCTGTCCGTCTGCACCTTACTAAGATCTGAGTCCGTTACTGTCAGCTAGAGGACAGAACCTGAATAACAGAGTGAAGGAGTCAGTGGGCAAAGGAAGGACTGAAGGTACCAGAGAAGCTCAGGGACCAGAGATGGACCCGCCGTAGTTCAGCTCCTGCTTCTTTTCAGCTTTACTTCTGTTTGTGTATAAACTGTCCAGCAGCCAATCAGCATCCTGCTCCTTGTTTCCGTAGCTACATGCAGACCGGCTGCACGTCCGTGAAGCTCATTATGAAGCACTTCTGGATGCTGATCTCAGACACGCTGAAGGCGACGCCGTCCGTCGGAGTCGACATCACGCGAGAGGAGCGGTGAGTCACAGGAACCGGTCCGTTCCTCCAGACAGCTGGTCAGAACCACCGGGTCCATAGAACAGAAGCAACACAGCTGCAGCACTGAAAGCAGGCGTTCTTCTGACTGCATCACAGGTTTGGTTCTGATCACTGACATTCATCCGTCCTGAAACTCAGCAGCTAGAAGTGATGTGATGGAACATCTGCACGACTTTCCCCCATATTTCCTCATTTTTCTCACAAATTGTCCAAAGTTTATCCAAAGTTTGTACAAAATGACAGAACTGATGTCAAATGGCCAAAAAATCTACAATGAGTTGAGAATTGTCCAAAATGTCAAAACCTGTTTCAGAATAACCGAAAACTTTTCAATTTTACTGAAACGTTGCCACCAAAGGACTTAATTCTGTCTGAAGTGATTCGTTCAATGTCTAAATAGTCAAACTTGAACTTTTGGACCAATTTCCACGAGTTGACCGTCAGACTTTAATGAGCAGTTTCTCATTAAAGATCCAGGAGTGCTTTAGTTGCAGAGTTTCAGACGGTTGGATTCAAACATGGACCAGATAAATGTGGAGATGAAGACGAGCATTTAAAACCATCCATGTAGAAACCTGTTTGTTGTAGAGCTGCAGGACGTTTCAGGTTTAGCTCCATGTTCACGGTTTGCTCTCGTTCCTCTGAATCTCTGTGAAGGAGCCGAGTGTTAACGTCACTGCAGAGCTTCACTTATGGAGGTACAGCTGTGACCAGAGGAGCCGTTGGAGGTTTTTAGTTTGTCCTGCAGGAGACCAGAGGCTCCAGCAGGACAGAAGCTGGTCTCCTCACCACCTTCAGACCTGGAACAGGACCGGCTCTTTCAACACTCTGCAGACAAGCTGGTGTTGTTCAGCTCCTCCTGGACCATTAGAACCCGTGTACTGGTGCTTCTACTGCAGTAAAGAGTCGCAGCAGCAGCAGCTTTGAGCTGTGAGGACGTAAAGAGACAGTTTTATACTCAAACATACTTTAGCTTTAGCTGCTGGAGCCTCTGATGAGCTTCATGTGAAGGACGAGGCTGGAGGTGGAGGTTAGTGTAGAAGTCCTTCAACAAGCTGGACTCACTGAGCTTCTACACAAATCACTCAAACTTCTGACTACGTCAGTTAGAAACGGCCCCTAAAATACCAGAATGTGTCCCAAATGGACCTGGTACCGTGCTGCTCTCTCAGGTCCGTTCCTGATGTTCTGGTCGGGCTGTGATGATGTTTCTTCTCTTGCAGACACCAGAAGTGCAGGATGTGCTGCAAGCAGCTGAAGAACCTGAGCAACATCGTGAAGAACAAGGCGGCGCAGGTGGGTCGCCACGGCAGCGCCTTCAGAGAGCTGCAGCTGCTGATGGCGCCGCTGGACGACTCGCTCTGAGAGGTCCAGACGTTGTTCTGCAGCGACGGAGCCTCCAGGAGAAGAAACGCTCATGAAGATGTTGATCTGCTTCCAGCTCAGAGGAAATCCTTGGTCTCCCTCAGAATCAGAGGAGAAGACGGAGAGTCCGGTCTCCACCCGTTGATCCACCTGCTCCACTAGACGGACAGAACCAGCAGAAGAATCCTGCTGAGTGCCGTCAGACCAGATTCGGCTCAGAAACCTTTGGTTCTGGGTGGAGAGTCTGAGATCGGCTTCACTTCTGTTTCCTGTCGAACACAAAAGACAATCAAACGTTTCTCAGCTGCTGTCTGAGCTGCTGCACAGAACGAACGAACCAAGAGCATCCCGACCCAACTCAGGTCTGTCCAGCATGAGACAGAACCCAGCAGCAGCCATTGTTCTGTTCGTGTGAGACAGAACCCAGCAGCAGCCATTGTTCTGTTCGTGTGAGACAGAACCCAGCGGTTCTGTTGGGTTAAATAACAGCCTTACTCTGATCGCGGCTCCTGATGTGAATATTTTCTGGTTCCTTTTCTCCTCTCTGACTGTAAACCGATGATCTTTGGACAAGACTTTTGTTGCTTCAGGAAACACTGACCGACATCATTCACAGTTTTCTGCCATTTAATGACCAAACAGCTGATTGGTTCGTCCAGATGTTCATCACCAGCTGCAGCCCGACTACAGATGTTCACATTCAGCTTCACGCCTGAGTTTCTGAGCGACGTCACACTGATCTGTTTGCAGCTGCTGTTGGATGGACACTTTTTCTGCTTTGTATGCTAAGCTAAGCTAAGTTGCTGGTGTAGCTTTGAATCAGACATAAATAATGGTAAATATATTTTCCCCACCGCTGACGCTGCAGACGGATTCAGTCTGGAGGCTCTCAGGCTGGATGGACTCTTTGTGATTCATATGAACTCATGTTTCAGTCGATGGTGTCGAGCTCTGAGGAGGAAACCAGACAAACACTAAACTTTGACACTTTCTGACGTGCACAAGTTTTCACTTTTCTACTATTCACTCATATTCAGTGTTTAAATGTACAGTTATTACTGTTTATTTAAATAAAGAGCTAAATGATGTCTGGAGTCTTTGTTTAAAGCAGCCAATGGAAGAAGAGTCAGACAATGAAATGGTCGGTCCGACGTTTACGACATACTATACTATAGTGGGAAAAGTGTCCTGAACA